ATATGTGTAAATTAGTCCGAACACTCACATTAATCTATAAAAGAAAAAAAAGAAGTTCCAAACATTTCTTTTTGAAAATGAAAATCCAACAAAAAATTACTTGGAAGTTGTGATGATGGAAATCTAGACGAGCCCAAAAAGCTCTTATGGACTCGAGCGCGTGTCTTAAGCCCAATACCTTTATGGGCTTAGATACATGTCACAAGTCTAATATTCATCAATTTTTTTTTCAAAACCTTACATCAGTTTCTTTATATTTTATATTAATCTAATATATGTATTTCAAGTGAAATACAACATAAAATATCATAAAGATTAAATTACATTTTAATCCCTCCTATTCACAAAAGTGATATGATTCATAGAGCATAAATACATCATCAATTATTTAAGTTAAAGGTTCATAATCTTTTTATTTATAATATTTTTAACATGTATATTTTTAGAATTTATCTATTTAAAATACCATTATAGTTTTTCTCTTTATAGAGTTGTTGACTTTATCATTGAATAATTCCCTTATCCATAAAAAAAAAACATTTTGCAGGTATTAATCATCACAGTTATTAATCACCTAACTTACCAAACAACGTCTATTATTACTATAGTTATCAGTCATTTAATTTACTAGATATCATTTATTATCAATTACTAACTTTTTAAGTTTTCTATATCAAGTTATTAGATATGTTAATTATAAATAATATGTCAAATTAAATCCATAAATCAATTAATTATTCATTATATTAATCTTATTTTTAATCACCTAGAATTTTACTACTCGTCAACACGGAAGGTTCTGGGAATTCAAAACAAGCAACCTTTCCACCATCTCAACATCTAGTGGAGCTTCAACACAATTAATTATATACCATGCCTTGACGGTGTTCCTTCTTTGGTTCTTGCATCTTCAAGGTTCCATCAAGCTTGACGATGCCTTTGGCTGACTGGCTTCCAACGAGGGACTTCACAGCCTTGTCATCTACATCCCATGCTCGGCTCGCGAACTCAGTAGAGAAGCCGGTGAAAATGCCATTGGAGCCTGTCAAAAAGAAGTCAGTAAATTCACCAGTCTTTAAGAAATGCTATTCATGCTTTGGATTTCAAAAAATCTCATGAGTTTGAATAAATATTTGATTATTGTATTATGATAGAAGAGAAACAAATAACAAGAATAAAGAAGATATATTTTGTTGTACTCTTGAAATTATAATCATTCTTCATGTCTTTATCTCTATAACAAAAAATATAATTGAAATTGTAATTATTTCATTCTTTTAAAAGCATTGATTGTGCACCTAATTAACGTTAGCTTTTAATATATCACGGGGATATCCAAGAAGTAAAATACATGTTGTGATCATGTACACTTGGAATTGACCAAATACTGGAGAGAAAAAAGAATGGCAGGAGAGGCATGAAGCTGTAGTTGGATTGCTAGAAAAACACATGGTGTTAAAGCACAAAACCGGGATTAAGTTAGTGCATTTTTTATATTGTATCAAAATGCTTGTAAATAATAAGTTATTTAGTATTTGAAAAGGTAGTTAATTAATATATGCTGATACATAGATTTTTTTCTCTTTAGATTTGAAAATTCTAGACTCACGATAAAAGTTTGAGTATATATAAAAATATACTTAATTATAAAAGCTCTAAGATTCTTTAATAATAAAATTAGTATATTTATAAGAAAGATAATAAATAATTTAAAAAGAGTTTTAAACTTGAGGAATAAAAATATTTATTTTTAAATTTTAAGTTATTTAATACTCTAAAATCCATTAATTTATTTTAAATGATAAATGTTTTTGACCTTTACCTTGACAAGTATTTATACTATTTGAAGAGAATGCCCATGAAGCTTTGATATATGCTCTTGGCGATATTAATGAACATAAATATCTTTTATATATTATTAATGGAATATTAAATATGATAGGTCAATTAAAAAGTCTGGTATATATGTATGAGTAGAGAAAAAACATTGCATCCGTATGAATGAATATTTTACATGGAGAGACATGATGATTTGTTATGCCTTCAATGTTTTTATTCCAGGGGATAGTTTAGGACCGGTGTATAGTTTTAGAATCCAATAATGGTTGAATCCAAATGTTTCGGGTTTAACGTGTTTACCGAACTCATGTTATTTTGGGTTTAGTTAATTGTCAAGTTCAAATGCTTTAGCCCTGGTATAATTGCTAAACCTCAAGTTATTTAAATTTGACATGCTCATTAAACTCTCATCATCTTAAACTTAATTAATTGTTAAATTTAATTTGTTTAGTATAATGTACTCGTCAACTTCTTTTATTTATCTTGAATTTGATTAATTATAAAGTTTAAGCTTTTAAGATTTAATGTTGGAATATTATATTTTTTTAAATAATTTTTATTTAAAGAAAGTGTATGATAAAAATTAAAATGTTGACTTATGATTTTTTATGGTGGAATATGTATAGTCTAGTGTTTCTTCTACTTTCAATGACTTCACGAAGACCCCACCCAATTCAAGAATCATGAAAGTATTTGCTAGAACAAAAAAACGGAAAGAAAAAGGGTTGTTTAACTATTTTTTTTCTTCTTATCTTGACTGTTTTGTTGGCGTGGTTGTTGTTTTCCTCTTGTAAATGTTTTGGAGTGCTTATTTGATTATAAAAGGTATGTTTGTTGGTTTAAAAGTGGTTTTTAAAAAATTATTTTTTATTTTTGTTTGTTATCGAAAAAGTTAGTTAATATAAAATATTTTCTAGTTAATGGAAAAAATTTTCCTATCAAAAAACAATTTGGTTTAATTTTCAAAACAATGTTTTCCTTGTATTTTAGATGAAAAACATTTTCTATAAATTGTAAAAAAATTAAAAATATCATATTATTTACTAATTATATCAAATTTGATTCCCAAACTTTTAATTACTATATATTTTGTTTGAATTTTTTTTTCAAGTTCATTCCTTAAAATTTGAATTAATTTGATTTTTATATTAACTTCGGTCTTTATTTTTATGATTGTTATCTATTTTTTTCTTATCATTTTTTAAATTAAAATTTTTTATCTGTCAAATTCGATCCTCGTTATTTTGACTATTATTTATTTTATTTAAAATAATTTATATAATTATAATTATTTTAATTTCATCGTCTTTTAATTTTTTTATTTGTTGGATTTGATCTCTATTATTTTGATTATTATTTATTTTATTTGAGATAATTTATAAAATTGAATTTTTTTTCAATTCTATTCTCATTCAACTTTTTAATTTGTAAGATTAGTTTCTTATTGTTTTAACAAACTTGAAAAAAAAATTAAAAAGCGATTTTTTAGCTCATTTTTCATAACATGACCAAATATTAAAAAATATTTTCCAACTGCCTTATTTGTTTAATGAAAAGTAATTTTCTGAAAATTATTTTCTAAATTTTACTGTGTTTATTTGTAATTATAAAAGTTGGACAATGGAAAACACTTTCTGTCAAAAAAAAGTTTAGCTTGGTTTTCAAGAAAGTGTTTTTCTTTTATTTTTTGGCATAAAACACTATTTGGAAGTTATGAAAAAAATTAGAAATGTCATATTATTTGCTAATTATATTAAATTTAGTTCCCAAACTTTTGATTGCTATATATATTTTGTTTTTAATATTTTTTCTTAATTTTATCCATTGAAATTTGATTTTTATATTAACTTTAGTTCTCGTTTTTATAATTGTTATTTGTTTTTTTCTTATCATTTTTTATTTAAAAAATTTACCCATCAAATTTAATCCTTATTTTTTTGTTTGCTACTTATTTTATCTGAAATAATTTATGAAATGATAATTATTATTATTTTAATTTTTTTATCTTTAATTCTTTTTTTGTTAGATTTGATCTCTGTTATTTATTTTATTTGAGATAATTTATTAAATTATATATTTTTTTAATTTTATTCTCATTCAACTTTCTAATTTGTAAGATTTATTCCTCATTATTTTAATAAACTTGAAAAAAAAATAAAACATTAATAAGTTATTTTTTAGCTTATTTTCCATAACATAACTAAATACTGAAAAATATTTTTTAATTTATTTTTCATTACACTACCAAATATTAGAAAAATAATTTATTTTTTCAATTTTTTTTTAAATTTAATTTTTTTTTAAATATTTTCTAGTAAATAAATAGGGTCTCGAAATTCAGATAAGTTAGAAATAACTTATAATGACATGATAAACAAGCACACCCTCTTTTAGGAAGGCATAAGATGAGTCACGTGGTCATTCTTAATTTAGGATTTATAGTTTAAAATATTTTTATTTTAAAATATATTAAGATAATTTTATTTTTTATTTTTTATACTAATACATTAAAATTATAAAATATTACAAAAAAAATATTTTTTTTTCAGGTTAAAATTATTTTTAAAAAACATCTAAAAACAGAAATAAAAAATATATCAACCATCATTTTAAATAAAATATTTTAATCAAAATAATATTATTTAGTATTTTTAATGTCATTCTGTAAAATTTAGATATATCAATCAAGTTATTAAAAACTTAACCAAGTCAGTTAAATTTTATTAAGTTAATATTTTTTAGTTTAATTAGAAATTTAATTTGAGATTAATTTTAAATTTTAGATTTTTAATTAAATTAGATTGAATTTAATAATTACATGGTAATAAAAAAAAAGAGACCATAAAAAAGTTCTAAAAAAGGTTTTGAATTAAAAAAAATCCTCATACTGTTAAAATCAAAGAGTAAAAAATTAACTAAATATTCACGTCAGGAGGTCAAGATCCTCCTTAACGGGTTACTGACCGGAAAACCTGCCTCCAGCCATCTAAGAAATGGTTAAGTGGTAGTAGCTTAAGATGAAAACGTTTGTGTTTTCTTGATTTTAATATAATAGTTATTAGAAATTTATATCATAATTAAATTTAAAATTTATGAAATTAATCAAATCACACTCTTACATTTACATTAATAAAAAAAATAAAATCATACCCAACCATTCACCGAACTTGGCAGAATCCCATGACATCCAAACTGGACCCCACCAAACGCCCACCACCAACTAAAAGGAAAAGAAAGAAATTCCCTCTCCTCGCCTCTCCTTTACTTTCCTCGAGTGAATTCCATTGAGTTCCAAGCTAAACCAAAAATCCATGCCAGAAAATCATTTCCATTTCTAGCAACTGTAAAGTCTCTTCCATGTTCAAATACTCAGACTTCAAGTTCAAGTACAGTAACTGAGAATCGAGGGTTTGGAATGGATAGTTGGTGTGGAGGAGAGGCAACAATTAAGAGCCGGGCTAAACAAACTGAAGAGAGTTATCAGTTACAGCTTGCTCTTGCTTTGAGGTTATCTTCACAGGCTGCTTCAGCTAATGATCCCAATTTCTTGGATTTCAGTTCCAGTGACAACACTAAAAGAGGACTTCCTCCTTATTCTCCCGAGTCTCTTTCTCATCGATTCTGGGTAATTTTTTTTTCCATACTTTTCGTTGCTCGAGAATCTCTCTCTGAAGTGGGCCCCATCACAAATTGAGATTTCTTTTGGGAGCTTGGAGAAAGATTTTGTTGACGTGATTTTAAGAATATTTTACGGCGCTTATGTTCTTATATGTTTTATGATTTTCTCCTTTGCTTTTTTTTTTTTAATTTTGTACTGCAAACATGTTTTGAAGTTTTTGTGTGTGTGTTTTCGGTTATATTTGCATCAGGTGAATGGAAGTTTGTCATACTTTGATAGAATTCCAGATGGGTTTTATGTGATACATGGATTGGATCCTTATACATGGAGCATAAGTGCTGATAGTCGTGTCCCATCTTTTGAATCATTAAAGGCTGTTAATGATTTGTCAATAGGAGTGGTTTTGATTGATAGATTCAGGGATCCTGGTTTGAAGGAGGTACATAATAGAGTTATTGGTCTTTCAAGCAGCTTGAGTACAACCGAAGATGTGGTTAAACACCTTGCGATTGTTGTTTGTAATCTTATGGGGTGAGTTCCTTGAGTTATGATCAGTTTGGGGTGTTTTCAGTGAATTTCTTGTATTAGGATTCTTGTGAACAGGGTTTTTCTTTATTGTCTCAGGGGTTTAGTCCCCAATGAAGATGATAATGCCTTTGCCGAATGCTGGAAGGAATGTACTGAAGCTATGAAAAGGCGCTTCCGTTCTGTTGTGCTTCCAATTGGAAGCTTATCCATTGGCCTCTGTGTTCATCGTGCGTTGCTGTTTAAAGTAAATCTCACAACTTCGTTGTTTTTGTTCATTGCATTCAGCTGCATTTTAATGCTGCCCATGTTTGTATTAAATACATATTATTTGGATGTTGAATGGAAAAATGCAACATATTGATCATATATTTTTCCTTTAATCATTGGATGTATTTATGTCTTCCAAACTATAAATGTCTCTATTGACATTTCTCGAATTATGATTTTTTTTCAGGTATTAGCAGACTCGATTAACTTGCCTTGCAGAATTGTTAAAGGATGCAAATACTGCAGAAGAGATGTCGTTTCATCCTGTCTGGTACAAGTTGGTAATGACAGGTATGCAGTTTCAACCATATATTTATTTGAATTTCACTACATAGGAGGTTGGAACTGTGGAGCAATAGAGCTTTGAAATACAAGTATATCAATATTTGAAGGTTGGTAAATATATTGATATCTTTAGTGGTATGTAGTGCAAATTGGTAAGTGAAGAATGGGAGAGGATGGGTGAATCTTGAATTGCTGATAGCTTCATCTGGGTTCTTACATTGGACCTGTTTGTACTTGCAGTTGAGCTTGAGCCATTTTTATTTTTCCTTTCCTTATCATCTTAATTTGTCCAAGTGAATTATTTCTTAATTGACCGTTGATATGTGCCTGGTAAAAATGAATGAATGGAACCCCTTGCTCTGACAAAAACTTTTCTCTCAAAAGAAACTGGCAGGAAGAGCATGAGCATCCTGAAATTTTGACACGAGCACTGTCTAATTTAGCATCTCCCACATGATGCTGGTGGGGTGGATCGTTTTTCTTGGATATTTGAGGAAACATTATTTATATGGCTTGAACTGCAATGATTACACAAACAGCGAGCATTTTTTTCTCCCTGATACTCAGCATAACCGGAGTCCACATTATACCAGCTATTGTTGACATGGTTAGAAAGGGTGTCGTCTGCATAATCATAGATGGCCATTCACCATTTAACTATACTTTTGTCTGCTATGGTTTGTCTGAATGGTGGAATGGCTTTCTTTCAAGGGTGAAGTTCTCATTCCACCAGCATTCGATTCTTTTCCATTCTTTCCAAAAGTTAATCAAAGTTGCTTAAGTAATAGTTGCCATAAGAGGATATGAGAATAATTGATGGTTGCTTTTGTTTTTCAAGATCATTTCTTCAAAATTGCGAGTGTGCTTTTTGAAGGTTGAATGGCTGACCTATCTAGGAATTACTGTAGGAGTTTTTCTTTTATGGTAGGTCTATTGGTCTATAGTTGTTGAAATGAAAGGTCCATGGAGTGGTTGATCTCTGAATTATTTCATAATCCTCAGGGAATACTTTGTTGATTTGCTTAGAAATCCAGGAGCCCTAAGCCAGCCTGATTCCTCGTTCAATTCTTCATCTTCAATCTTAGTTTCTTCTCCATTGTCTCATCCAAGGTTTAAATCTAATCAAACAACTGAGGACTTCAGGACATTGGCCAAACTCTACTTCCTTGACAGCCAGCCACTTAATCTTGTATTTGATAATTCTTCTTCAGGTGATTCCCTATCTACTTCATACATGTATCGCTATAATATTTTAGAATACATGATTGATCACTTTGGCATTTATTTGTAGTGCATTATTTAATATATTTGTTTATCCTATTCCTCCAACAACCCCTACACATTTTCATAATTGTTTGAGATGCAGGGTACTCTCTCTGTGACTTCAAATTGGAATTTCCATTTATCTCGTAGTATCTACAGAACCATATTTATTATACGATACTCTGATCATTTGCTTTGAAGTAAATAACTAAAGAATAAGTTCATCTCTTATGATCAAACTTTATCGAACTGTAAATAAGATAAAAAAATTTTAACAAAAAAGAAAGGCTAAAATATTCTGATTGTAATGCTCAATATGATTAGTTACCGCACATATGATGTGTCTGACAATGACTCTTGAGTCTGACCTGCCAAAGGAAATGCTAGAATGGCAAGTCATGCTTGTAAATGGTATTTAAAGACAATTGACATTCAGAGAAGTAATCTATTATTGACACTTTCTAAACCTTGGATTTTCAGGTACTGCTATTGATGAAGATGACAAATTTATTTCAAGGCTCAGTAAAGACAAGAAGAACCTTCTACCCACTTCAAGCAACAACCGTGACACTTCTCTGTCAAGTTCTGTCCTACCAGTTAGGCAAAAATATACAGATCCTGTCATCTCTAATCCCAAGCGTGTTGCTACAAATAATTTGTTGTTCATGGAATTAAACCAGTCAATACCAAGTAAATCAAACAATCAACTTCATCTTGAAGAGGAAGATTTGGTTGTGCCCTGGAGTGAACTTCTTTTGAAGAATAAAATTGGATCAGGTACCTTTTCATTTGAACTTTGGGAGGACTTCACCACTGCATGCTACGGTAGCTAGTAGTATCCCCTTCATGCGTTCAATGTATTTTAGTTTGTCAATTCTGTGAGATTTCATTCATGAAGGATACTGACAAATGCTTCTCAGGCTCTTTTGGAACGGTCTATCATGCTGACTGGCGTGGTTCGGTAAACATTTCTTTCTTATATCTCATAATCTTTGGCATTTTGTTTTGCTTGTTTTGAATATGTATATATAGTGGTTCTTATATCACAGAATCTTTCATCTCTATGATTGCTGTTGTTGATGAGATACCAAGATTCTTTTTATATGTTATCTATAAGAAAACCCACCAGCGAAATGGTGTTCTAATGTAGATTCTGCTATAAAAGTTGGTGCCTTTCCAAAAATCCAATCTCCATTCTTGTCATTTTCTCTTCAGGATTTCTGGGAGGATATTGTTTGCAGGACTACCTTGTATCATGGTATAACAGCAGTTAGGATATCTAGAGTAGCAATTTTATGTATTCTTCAGAATATGAAAAAGAATCTTGAGTTGATTAGAAATCATTCTTGTGTCTAGAAGTTATCATTTGAGTGTGTCAATTCTTGTCTTAGTCCTGCAGTTCTTTCCGTGCCTTTTCTGAATTCTGCTTAAGCAGTAGTTTGACACTAATCATTCTCATTGTTGAGACAAAATTGGCAATTGGTCCTGATCAGCTATTAATTTGATGTTGAGATGAAAATGATCTTCGTTTGCATCTCCAGCACTCCTCTAGAATGTAATAAATTAAATTTCTTAAAACTATTATTTACTGATAATCCTCTCTTTATGTTACCTTTCTTAGTGATATAGCTAGTAAATTTCAACAATGTATTCATATTGAATGTTTCTATCAGCTCTATGGGTTTTATTGCCATAATATAACGAATTCTTTGTTGAAGCTCTGAATATTGATTTTAGTGCTTTGCTCTTCATTAGCACTGAAAATATCAAATATGATCAGGATGTTGCTGTCAAAATTCTTGAGGAGCAAGAATTTCATGCAGAGCGCTTTGAGGAATTTTTGAGTGAGGTACCTATACCATGCTTGCTAAAAGTAAACCTCACCAAAACAAAAAGGGATCAAAGAATAGAAAAGAAAAGAAAACTTCAGCATCTTTTTTTATAGAGCTAATAGTGACTTGAGATTTTTGTGGTATGAATTTTTATCAATGACATTGATTTTGTTTGGCAGGTTGCTATTATGAAACGTTTGCGACATCCAAATATCGTTCTTTTTATGGGTGCTGTTACCCAGCCCCCAAACTTGTCCATAGTTATGGAGTATTTATCAAGGTATTAAGATTCTTTCTATGAATCAGTAGATATTTTTTAGGAAATCAACTCTGTATTAATGTGAATAATTTTCTTTGGACTGCAGAGGCAGCTTGCACAAACTTTTACATATGAATGATGCTGCATTGATACTGGATGAGAGACGCTGCTTAAATATGGCGTATGATGTGGTATGCTGTTTTCTTTTGGCTAATATTTCTGTTTCTAAGAAAAATAGATAATCAGCGGAACAATTGCTAGAAAAAAATTGGAACCATAACATCATCTAGAAGTGAATAAAAAATTTCCTGGATTTAGGGGTTGTTTATTTCTCTGTACAGGCTAAGGGAATGAACTATCTTCATCAGTTTAGACCTCCCATTGTTCATCGAGATTTGAAATCTTTAAATCTCTTAGTGGACAGTACATATACAGTAAAGGTTAGCATTCCTAAACTGTGATATGTGGATAAAGTTTTTCCTCTCTCCATAATATGCTTAGAAACTTGCTGCTCTGCTTAAGAATTAAAACCTTTAATCTGAAACCCAAAAATAATCCCCCCCCCCTCCAAGGTTAGCATTCCTAAATTAGTTGCAGCGGTTAAATCTCCCATTGACAAAGGCACAAAGGACTGCAACAGCTAATCCATTGTTGATTCCTCCCCAAATTTTTAGCATATAATGCTGAAGTTTCTGATTAGTTCTTAGAATAGAATTAAAATAACTAAATGACCCAAGCAGCCTCTTCTACCCTTAAGAAATAATAAAGAGCAAGCTAATTTTATCACAACTAAAATGTGGACACTTCTCATGACCTTTTTTCAATGGGAATGATCATTTACATGCCATGCATGAGGAGCCTAACATTGTTTCCACTTGGAAAATGTTTATCCAGATTTGTGATTTTGGTCTCTCACGATCAAAAGCAAAGACATATATTTCATCAACAAATGCTGCAGGGAGAGTAAGTGCTACTTTGGAATCATTAAGTTGTTACATGCACTTTCTTATTGTATGTTATATGAAGGAAGCATGGATTGGGTTACAAACCTAAATTTACAATTCTGGCTCCTCTTCTTTAGCCTGAGTGGATGGCCCCAGAAGTACTCCGTAATGAGCGATCAAATGAGAAATCAGATGTTTACAGCTTTGGTGTAATCTTGTGGGAACTTATGACCCTGCAACAGCCCTGGAGAAACTTAAAACAAGCACAGGTAATTTGCTTTAGCATACTTCATTTCACATTTTGTTTACAAACTCGTACACAGATGATACAATAGAATCTGTTTCTCTTAATCAAGTTATATTTGTGAAGTTGAGAATGGATGCAAGACCTTCAAGGAAAATGCCTTGTTAAGAAATAAAGTCCCTGAGAAGGCTCAACTGGTGAAGGGTGTTGATTGTTCCTAATTATTTAAGGATATCTGACTGGCTGCTGCCGGAGATGAAGTCTGTAACTAGAATTATTGTAGTCATCTGGAACTGGATACTAACATACACATGGTTCTGCATTATACAGAACCCAAATGCTATTATTTATGTTAAACGAGTATCTTATATTTTGTTGTAGATCATTGAAGCTGTTGGTTTTATGGGCCAAAGGCTTGAGATTCCAAGCAGTGTAAATCCTTCAGTGGCTGCCTTGATTGATGTCTGTTTGGATAAGTAAGTGGATGGTCATAATTACATCAACTTCCCAAGAGTTTATGGACTAATTTTATCTCTCAACTGTGAAATTTGTTTATCTTCAAGAAACCCTACTCAGGACAAGGAACTAACTAATATACAGCGCCTGCCTTTAATACCTCTCTCCCCTTTCCGTCATATTCTAATGGACTTTCCTTTCAATGCAGCGAGCCCTCTAAACGTCCCCCATTCTCCTATATCATGGAAACATTACAGGAACTGATAAGTAACTCCATCTCCCAACCAGTTGCCGCTCAAGTTCGATGACAAATCTATAGGAGGGGAACCCCTGGTAAAATCTTTATTCATAGCAATGTGCCATAGATATGATGCTCATCTGGTGCATATTTCAGGTGTGCCTGTCGTTTTATAGTACTTAATGAATCAAATAAAATTTTCTTTAATATCTTTGTTGGAATATTTATAGCTTAGATGCATGGTGTTGTACTATCAGATCTTGCATTCATTCAATCCCACATGATGTGCTTTTAATGTGTTATAAGTCATCTTATTCTGTTGGTGGCAGGATTCTTGCTGCACATAGTTTTTTCCTTTGCAGATAGAGGAATGGTAAAGCTGCTTGCATGGATTTCATTCTTCTCATTGACATGATACTTTCTGGGCTTCCACAAGTTGTTGATTGTCTTTTCTGTATCTGCCATGATCTAACCCTTGTAGCTACAATTGTAAATACACGGGAAGTTGTCAGGGTATCGATACCAAGCAATATTGGTGGAAATGCCACCATGTGTTAGGAACTTTTATATGGGAAGAAGTTGAGGGCAGCTGGTTCATATTACTAGTTACACTGATGTGCCCATCATTTGCTTAATTGCTTCACTCTGTTGGCCTCATATTATCAGTCAGGGTGGCTTATGAATCATGATTGCAATTTCTCAGCGGGAGATTTTTGGCTGCTCAGCTGTTTGGTTTGCGAGGTAGAGAGAGGCTTGCTATTTATCATCCCCTTGCATTTAATTTTGGGAACCTTCTAATCATACATGTTAATTCTTCTGAGCAGGTTAAATCTTTAACAAGCACTAAAGTTGTAGAGCCCAAGAGCCTGGGAGAGCTTTCACTTTGGTACAAAATACAATCCAGTTCTTCCGCATTAAGCACCGTCACAGTTTAGTCCTTTATAAAGTTCGTCCAGCTCTATTTTTTTTTTCAGCTGCAACTAAGCGTGTTTTTTGTATTGTGATTGTTTTTGTGGTTACGGTTTAGAAAAACAAGTTCAAGTAAAACACTTCTAGTTATAGTTTTAAAAAATATATTTGGTTAAACTTGTTGGAAGTTAATTTTTTACATGTAAAATAAATTAAAAGTATATTTTCATAAATAAAAAATATAGATTATTTTAGTTTTTATAAAATCAAAGTTTGAAATGATAAAGCATACATGAAACTCAAAAAAACTAAAATTCCTTCCGGTTGCAGTGAATGCAAATACTCAGTTTAGTCCCTTGTCATTAGGCAAAGGTGTTCTTGTAGGTTTTGATCCCTCAACTTTGTTTATATTAAAATTATTATTTTTTAAAATGTAATTTGATTTTTCTAGTTCAAGTGTCTGACAATTTAGACTTCTGAATGTAGCATTTTATATAACGTATAAAAATATTATTTTTAATTTTGTTTTACAGGGTATTTTTCAACTTTCTATTGTGAATAAATTAAAAATTATTAGACACCAAATAATTCTAAAAATCATTTAGAAGTGAATACAAATCAAGCGTACCCCACGTTTTCAGTTCCCAAACCCTCCTTTTTCAAGCCATGCTCTCTTTTCCACTCCTTCAATTTTCTCTCTCTTTTATTCCGTGGGCAACCAAAAAATTAGCCTCCTCCTTTTCCTTTTCCTTTCTCTCTCTTTTATTTTGACAATCCTCTTAATTTGCTCCAATCTCTCATAAAATGAATTGTTTTAATTATATTAAAGAATTGTATCAATCTGATTGCTCAAAGCTAATGATAGCGTGGAGATAATAAATTTAATCTATTTATGGGTAGAAAAAACCCCACTCTGTTCATGGAAAATCTTGTGGTATTATTTTGTCATGTCTTGAATTCTGAACTCACACTGTGCCCATGCCCATTGATTTTGTGTGATTCTACCTTCTCCTTTTCATGTCAATAATATTTTTTTTCATTTTGTTTTATTTAAGTTCTATTTGATTTACCTATCGTCTTATTGTTTATATCCATTAATTCTATAACAATCCAAGCAAAGTTCTTTCCTTTATATTTAGAGCTTAAGTGTACACAAATTACAAATAATTTCTCCATTTTACCACCAAACAACTTACACTTTCAGAAATATTCAACCGGACTTTTTATTTATTCTAAGTATCTAATTAATACAACGTTATTTCAAATAATATTTAACATATTCTGTTTAAATTGCAAGTCTTCTTCTATATATATATATATATATATATAAATTATTTTAAAGAAGATTTAACATATCCATTATGTGATTTTAGTAAAAATACTATTTGAGAAATCAAACTAATCTCAGGATAAAATTGATATAAAAGACAGTTTGAACGTAAAATTGATAATATCTTAATAGTTTGGGGGTATATTTAAAGAAACTGAACAAAACTCCTCCTTCTTCAACTCATTTAATTAATAAAAAACAATCATCCGCGGATTTCTTGGTACCTTTTTTTTTCTCTCTTTTAATTTTATTTTCTCTTCGCATGTCTTGGAATTATTTTCTTAACACATTAGAGGGTGGACCCGGGCAGAAGTTGCCGGAAATGAAAGAGCTGAAAAATAAGCCCGGTGTCCTGTACATTGGGAGGATACCTTATGGTTTCTACGAGGGAGAGATGAAAGGTGAGGTTTAATGTGTGATGAGATATTAGTTTTGATCTTAGCACCTCTGTTTTGCTGATTGATGCAAGTCTTTTGTTTTTGCTTATTATATTTTCTTGTAATTTTCAGCTTATTTTTCGCAAGATTATATAGTCATCTCAAATGGTGAATTAAGTTCCCAAATCGAGTTGTATGGAGAAGCTTCTGAGTGTAGCCATGGAAGCCTGTACCTGACCCTTTGCTTCTATATGTTACAGCTGTTTGTTCACAAGCCTCGCCCTAACAATCCACGCTACATGATGACACTAGGATTATTCGATGTTCAAGCAGAAATTGCATATGAGCTTTTATTTTATGTGAATCCAGTCGTGTTTCAAATATATTTCCCTCGCTTCTTTTTGGTTGGATATAGAAATTGCCTGAGCCCAGGATTGTGCACGACTGTATATGCCAGAGGGAGAGAGCATCACCGATTAAGCTTTTTTTATTCACAATTTGACCATTACAATACAGAACCAACATTGCTTTTCAGTAGACGACTTTCTCCACATTATAACCACAATTTTACCGCTCCTTGAGCCTTTCTTCTACCTGTTCAGCTTCTCTTTCCCATCCCTTTGCAGCTAATTATTGATAACGAACAGGAGGTTTTCATGAAGACACTAAGCTACTCTGCCCGAATTCGGTTCCAAAATTAACCAGAGGAAGCGGCCCATCAAGAGGAGAGTGCAGTACTGGAATGAGCTAATAATGTTTCCTTCTTCAAACTTCGTAACACGTACCCGCTTTTGACCATCTAGGTGTTCTACACCCAGATTTCGGCAAATAGCCTACATGAACTCTGCTTTTCTATTCAATATCCATCAATTGAAATGTTACTTTAGCTCGTGAAAGGGAAGTTCAGCAACTGGAATTCGGAGTTTGGAATTTCGAATTTTTGCAAACCTGAGACAGACGGGAGCTCAAAGAACCAACACTGCCACACAAAATTCAAGAAATTATAACAACTATCAAGAAAGTCTCCAAGAAAGAACAAAATACCTTATAAAGAAGAGGAACGGGGCTGAAAATAAGGAGAGCAGCAATAAAACAGTACTTAAAGAAAAGCTGCCAAAGAACTTGAACACTGGCCCATGTAAGCAAACCAGTCAATCCAACAACCAAGATGTTATCAGGATTTGGGTTCAGTAATAAATCACCCCACTTGATTTTGATTAAAGGAGGAGGTTGATCTTTACTCAAATCACCACCACCACCATTGTTATTGGAAGACTCATAATTCATATCTTGTGCTGGTTCTTTGGGTTCTTGAGTTGGGTTGTTGCTGTTGTTGTTGGTTTGTGCAGAAGGAAGGAATCTCAGATGGGTTTTCTTGGAGATTTTGAGAGGAAAAGAAGGGAGAGGGAGGTTGGGTTGGATGTGGAGAAGAGGGATTCTTGAAGATGATGGGATTTTAGGGTGTAAGAAAGAATTGAACCCTGTCATTTTGTCCATGGCATTTTTAGCACAGAAGTTAGGAAGAAAACAGAAATGGGCAAACTCTCAAGAACAGCATTTCCTTTCTTGATTTTTTAGTTAAAATGAGGACCTAAAAAAATAATCAAGTTACAACGAGGACCTGAATGAAAATTGATAATTTAAAAACGACCACAGTGGGAGTCGAACCCACGACCTTTTGATCCGAAGTCAAACGCGCTAATCCACTGCGCTATGCGGTCTGCTCTGTGCAAGATTATATATATGTTGATAAAGATGTAGGTGGTAACGTGGAAGGTATAGCATTTCATGTTAGCAATTCAGAATCTGTCAAGAATCTGACACTTATTGAAAAGCTTTCTACAGGAATTCGCATTGAAGCTTTATGATCGTACATCAGGGGACCAAAATATATATGATTCCAGAGGATAGTATCCAAATTTCTTGGTTTTGAAGTAATCGGGTCTTGAACGTAAATATTTTATTTTTTTATTGCCTGGGATGTCCGGCTAGCTTATCCATACCAAACATTTACTGAATGTTTTATAAGCCTAATAAATAAGTAAAATATTACAAAAATGATAGGTTTCTATACAAAAACTCAAACTTAAAATAAAAGGATAAAAAATTCACTGCTAGAACTGCTATGCCACGAAGAAGGATGCTAGAACGTAAATATTTGACTTGTGATCTTGAAGGGCTGTGTTTTTTTCTCCTTTGGATTGATACCAGATGAAGCTTTATGGGATTTTATTTAGAAAAAAAAACAAATGGATTACTATCTAATGTGATGGTTTTTGTTTTTTTTTTTTTAATAAAAAAGCAGAATGCCATAGCTTGTCCTCAACCCCACTAGAGGCCTAGACTTTCTAGCTAGGGAGTGAAAATCCCTAGCCTTTCTCCACTAGTAGTTATACATTGTGTTTTCCCTCTCGGCAATGTAGCCTCTCCATCCTGCAACTAATTCACCTCTCACCCGTAGGGCATAGCTGACTAGGCTAGCCAGAGACTTATTGAGAGTACAGTCAGCTCTCGGCAATAGACAAGCAAAGTTTTTGACACCTTTCTGTTTCTCACTAACAAAAGCCATCTTTATGCCACGCTTGTGTAGTCTGCATGTAGGAATAATATTGTCCTAAAGTCCTTCCACCCAACAACACAACAACGTGGCCGAAACACCTTTCTGTTTCTCACTTGCAAAAGCCCTTCCACTAGTGTAATTTGCTTGTGGCATTAATGTCCAAAAACCCTTCCTTCCTTCCATCAACGAACCCAGTTAGATGTAATTATTTTCAATTTGATTTTTAATCAATTTTTTAATTTTTATTTTTCTCATCCCCTACCCACGGCGGTACTGTGGCCTTTTCCTTTTCTTGTTACCGTTGCCTATGGGCCGTCCAATGCCATCAACGCGAAAGGGGGAGCAAAAGGCAAAACAAGAGATTATCCAATGATGCCTTGCAAAAAGGATCCGCCCTTTTTCTTCGATCTCCTCTCTCGGAATCCATATTCTATCTCCATATCCCATCACCTCCCCCGCGCATTTCCAAATCAGGGCCCCACCACATTCTCAACTCCTCCGTACAACAGTTTGATATGATGGGCTTGTGATGTCCAGCTGTGAAATGATGACCCTCGTTACCCTTTTAGGCAAAGACAAACTCCTCTTTCCTTCGCATATAGTTGACAAGAGCTCCCTCATCACCAAATCCACCCCCTTACCAATAAATCCACTCACCATAATCATTTTCTTAACTTTAATCATTCGCTTTATTATATCTTCCAGGTCATAAATGATTTTTGCCACATCAACTCTTATTATTTCAGTGCCTTTTAATTATAAACGGGTTGACTAATAGTGCCTTTAGCCTCCTCCTCCTCCTGCGGTGTAAAAATCCTTTTATTTTATTTGTTTTTTATTAAAATATTTTTTCTATATTTTATTCCATCGCATCAAAATCATAAAAAAAAATAAACAAATGTTAATCTAATTCTTTTAAAAGATAAAACACACCAGAGTAACAAAAAATCATCTCCAAAGGCATTTTGAGAAATCTTTATGTGAGATGGCCTGTCATTCTCCTATTGGCCTCTAAAGTCTTTTGCATCATTAATACCGGCGTTCGAATGCTTTTTTCATAATTGATGTTTCAAAACCTCAAGTTAAAAACTTGAATTATTTTTTCACTGTAATATTATAGTCTTAATGATTAGATGAACACTTTAGTATTAGTATTCAATTTTTTGAATTGAGTTGACTGTTTCACAAGGAAACTGTATCAATTGTGCTGAGAATATCTGTCGAAATCGGAGACATTTAAAGTTGAATCAACACCAATGGCTTTAGCTGGTCTGTTTAAGAGATTAACCTTCGCAAATTTATTTTCAAATTTAAGAGATCTTTTTAATTAACATCTCTGGTTACCATATAGAACCCCCATGAGAATGACCTCATCGTATTTCACAAATGTATGCATCGCTTGGTTCAGTGCAACTTGACTGATTAAGCTAGCTGACCTGCAAATCTGCAGGCTCTTTTATGGATACTGCTTCCTCTCCTTTCCTACCTTTTTTTTTTAATCTTTGAGAAAGAGAACAGAGAAAGCAGTGAAGGGAAGTCACTTCACTTCACTCCACTCATGCAAACATGAGGGAATGGATTGGGTCAGCAACGTCTGGGGTAAGTAATCAGGCCTGACAAGTGTGTCTCGGGAGGGGATTCAGATTCTTTCCTCTTCCATTCTTACGTGGGAAACATGGACTCTAGAAAAGATTCAGCAGGGACAGCTCACTTCTTGTTGACACATGAACAAGAAAAATAAGGTTTCAGTTTGAGTGTGTGAGGCCACGGTTTTCCTACTTTTCTTTAATGCTCAATATATATTATTATTATTACTTTCACAAACTTAATTTAGGACGTAGATTTCATAGCTTGTAAGACACTTGAAAAACTTTGAATGCATGAAGCCAAAGCAAATTAAATGGATCAGATCATCAGATGTCTGCCAAAGCCTAAAGCAACTGTCCTTGACTAGCACTGCTACTGAGGTCATTAACAGTTTTATGAGAATTCAATTGAAGAACCGAAGAAACCAGCTGACTTTTGGGTTAGACCTTGCTATAAAGAGTTAAGAGGTGTAGTTTTTTTTTTTTTCCCCAGTATGTGTATTCAAGACAGGTTATATATTTATTAATTAATTTTATAAATTTTAAAGTTGGTAACATGTAAATTATTAATAATTCTAAGATTTGTAGGATTTAAATTAATAATTTTTAAAAAATAAATTTAAAACTTGACCAGTTAAATTACACCCTTTAAAATTAATATGAAATAAAAAATCAAACCCGGAAATATTTTTTTTCCAGCTTCGTATCTAATTTAGCATTTATCCATAATTAATAGAAATGATATATTTTTACATGTAGTAGAGTTCGCTCTATGTATATAGTAAATTCCCTTTTATGAACATATATCCAACACCCATTTTCTTTGATCGAGTTTAGAGATAACATCAGAGTTGGGTTTTGTTTCACTCAACTCGGACTTCAAGATCGTCTAATGTCATCATCTCTGATCGCGCTGGATAAGATCAAGTGGAGGATTTTCTCTCCTCGGCGGGTGCTAATGGATACCTGAATATCAATCCTTTTTTTACTATTTTTTAAATTAATTTTATAGAGTCTAGAAATCATATTTGTATCCATGAACAGTAAAATAGAGTCCAGGAATTTAAATTCGTGTATAAACCGTAAAAAACATTAATGAATAATACAAAAATCCATACATTGTATTGAAAAATAAAATTACAACTCCACAAAGTAAAATAAAAATAGGTTCGAGAATCTGATCTCGCCTCATTTGTATGATAGCTGAATGCTCGAAAAAAGGGATACTACAAAAACTTGATCAATTGAATGTTATAAAATCCGATTTTAATACAAAAAACTTCTTGGAAATTTGGGAATTTGTGTGTTAAGCAGAGCTGCAGGTGAAAATATTTAATGTATTTGGATATGCTTTCACATTACACTATTGTTACGTAACTTACTCTCTAAAGTATCAGTAACCCTCATAATTTATTAGAGAGAATCTATCGACATGTCTTTAGTAA